CATTCTCTCCTTAACCAGACCAATCTTCTTCCTGACCTTTCATATGCAAGTTAATACAGTCAGTCAAAAGCCCTTTGAGCTTTGGGATCACTCTTCTACAAGTATGTGTTGATTTAATTTTCAGAGCCTTTTCTTTTAGTTCTTCAAAGAATTTCTCTTCCTTTCATGCTCTAAAACAGATGTTGATGCATAAATTTCAGTTATCAGTGATTATTTTCTCACATGTTTATTATAAACATTGCAATAGGTTATAACCAAATATCCAATGAAATGATGTTTATTGTTTCTTTTGGATGCATGATAAATTCAACTCACCACAAAGTATCTGTGAGCAATCTTTCTATTTAGCTTCAATTTTCTAATGGACTTATCATGCAATATTGTGTATTATAATTACCTATGCTCATGATTTACTAGATTCAAAGCTATGAGAGTAAACGTAGTGTCTAATCTAAACTTTGTATCCCCCTAAATACCTAACTGAACATAGCAGGTACAGAATGTTTGTCAAATGGAAGAAAGATTGGCTTTAGTCATTTTATATCTAGAATAATTTCTTCACTGATCTCCTGTATCCTACCTCCTTCTTCACTCCTGTTTCACTTCCTCACATAGCTTCTCCATATGTTATAGGTTCACAGATTTAGAGCTCAGAGGTCTTCAACCCCCTCACTTTAAACTGTGGTTCAAAGAAGTTGTGACTTGGGTAAAGTCACATAAGGAATAAGTAGCATAGCTAGGACTCAAACCGAGGTCCTCTAACTTCAAATACAGTTGTCTTTCCCCTACATCATGAAGCCTCATCATTCTGATCACATTACTAATCCTACACTGGATTTTTCCTCCTAGTTGTCATTATGAGGGTTTGGGTTCTACCCCCTTCTCAATGTAATCAGAGAAGGGTCATAGACCTAAATTGACTCAAAAGCTTTAACTAGTTGTTAAGGGATTCTCCTACAACCCCATAATAATAATGTGTGGCATCATTAATCAATTTGAAAGGACAGGAAAGTTTTGGCCATTGGATGAAAGCAAGTGACACCATACTGGAAAAATCTTGTGACTGATTGAATGAGACATGTCTCTGGGTCTTTGTATAAAAACAACAACCAACAGCAGTTGTGAATCGGTTCAGTAGTAGAGAATTCCAAATTCAGGAGCTGAGGATTCCAGAAGTGGAACCAGACCCCTGAGGGGGAATTGCTCTTGGGGGTGGGATGCGAGGGGAAGATCTCTTTTTTTCTCTATCTCTCTTTCCCCTCCCCACCCCACCCCCATCCTATCCCCACCGGAACTGATCATGCTGTTAAAGAGATCAGACCAGTAGAAGATTATATTTCACTCAATATAAAGGACAAATGGATGTGAAAATACAGTCACCTAAAGAAGAAGGCTGTTTCTGGGGCACCTAGATGGCACAGTGGATACAGAACCAGCCCTGGAGTAAGGAGGATCTGAGTTCAAATTCGGCTTCAGACACTTGACACTTACTAGCTGTGTGATCCTGGGCAAGTGACTTAACTCCATTGCCTAACCAAAAAAAAAGGCAATTTCAAGAACCATGGCCCTTTGTACCAGAGAAAAATGTTAGCTATGGATGGTGGCCAAGAATCCAGACCACAAAGTACCAGGAACTATGAGTTACCCTTTCATCATATGTGTGTACTTTTTGTGTGCCTCACTACCAATGTATTTCCAATCTTGATATGAATGTACTTGGGGAAGGTATGACCCAAAATTTTGGAGGGAATGTTTTGTTCCATTTTCTCTTACCCTATAATCTAAACAAATGCCTTTGCCAAAAAAAAAAAAAGCTTATTAACCTACCAGTTGGTAGCTAATGAGAAATACACGGATAGGGGCTTATGAGAGCTGTGGCCAGAAACCCTGAGAGTAAGCAGCAGTTACCTTCTGGGGATCCCAAACTATCAGTTAAAGTGAAAAATTGGTGCAGTAATCTAGAGGTAGCTCTATACCTTATTTCAAATCAAAGATCATATTTATAAAAGTACAGAATTTTAGAGATAATGGGAAACCTATAATTCATCTAGTCCAGCCCCCTTATTTTACAAATGAGAATACTGAGGACCTGAAAGGTTAAATAACTTAACTGAAGCCACATTCTACCCACTGCTCCTCCTTCCCAGCTTCTTTTCTTGATTTAAATTAACAAAAGTTTTATCACTACCCTTTCCTGCCTTATGTTTGGCATTCTCTTACTTTAGCCTACATTTAACTCTGCAACTTCCATTCATTGCTTCTAATTCTGACCTTTCATAGCAAACAGACAATTCTAAATCTTCTTCTACATGACAGATATTAAATTACTCAAAGACAAATATCATATCTCTACACAATCCCATCCCAACCCTAACAAGGCTTCTCATTTCCAGGTTAAATATTCCTAATTCTTTCCAAAGATGCTTTTTATACAATGTCATTCATTCCCCTCACCATCATAATTGATCTCCTCTGAACACAGCATGGTTTGCTGAAATATTTTCTAAAATGTGACATCCCAAACTACCTAACCAGGGCAGAATAAAGTGGGACTATCACTTTCCTGATTTTATTCATTATGCTTTTCAATATGGGGATTCTGCCTCTAGTTTGATACCTAGTCACAGGTCTTTACCTAGTCTCTAGTCATATCTCCATCCATTTTGAACTTGTATAGTTGATTTCTTGAAGTCAAACAAAGGACTTGACATTTATCTCTGTTAAATTTCATTTCATTAGACAGGGGTAATTGTTATATCCTACTAAGATTTTTTTTTATCCTGAATACGTCAACCAATATCCTAGTTTTCTCTCCCAGCTTCCCATCACCTGTTAATTTTGTAAGTACATCATCTATATCTTCATCTAAGTCATGGACAGAAATGGTGACCAGCATAGGACCAGGGCCAGATTTCTTGGACAAATGCTAGGGAATCTTGCTCCAGGTTGGCATCAAACCATTAATGTATACACTTTGAACCTAGTCATTTAACCAGTCAATTCAATCAACTATATTATTACACATTAGATTTGTATTAGCCTACCTCTTTACATTTTGTTCACAAGTATAGAACTTTATTAAATAACTTGCTGAAATACAAGCATTCTGTGTCAAATTCAAATTCATCAAACATTTATTAGCACTTAATATATGAATAATACATTCCCTCCTCTTACAAAACTTACATTCTACTAGGGGCAGGGGTGGGAAACAATGAAGGAGGGGACACATAAACATGGAGAAGTATAATACAAGTTAGATTATGATGGGGCAAAGGAGAGATTCATACAATGCATTCCAAGCAGGGTAGACAGCAGCTTTCAGAAATGCATGGAGGCAGGAGACACCATGTCAATACACACATTTAATGTCCCATGCATATATTAAAGTATGTAAGACTGAAAGATGTTGTTGTGAAGATAATTCCGTTCAATGGTCATCAGAATACCTGGGTTTCATCAAGGCATTCTATTTTATTGAACAAATTGAAAGACTATTAACACAGTCTAGAGTGGAGAATGTGTTATGTGAAATACAGGAAGTTCCATTTACACAGGACTTTACTGTTAATCATAAAAATGATAGGACCAAATTTATTCTGACCTATTTGTAATTTTACCCATGTTTTATCTCTCAAATGACAGCTGCAACTATTTTAATCTTGAAATTCAGCTGTTCCTTTGACCGACTTTCCCAATATGATAAAGTCATGTTTAGAAGGATGACTCATTGTATTCTCCAATTGCTAGTCTTCTTCTGCATTGCATCTCGTTAGGGCCCTGCTTCCTGGTCTGTCCTAAGGTTGAATTGGTATCAAACCACAACACGAGAAGGTAGGAGTCGTGGCCAAGACAGCTGGGCCAAAATGGAAGAGAACAAATCAGAGTATGGAGGGATAGGAGCACAGAGAAAGGGAAATGTAAACTACAAATGCCATTTTTTTCTTAATCTAATCTCAAAAAGCCTGTTAACTGGGTGACACTGCCAAGCACAGTTCCTTCTGTTAACCAACTCTGGCTGATACTTATTTTATCTATCTCAAACCTATTTATGTTTGCTAGAGGGCCAGAACTTGAGAAGAAAGCAAGCTCTGCTATAACATAGTGATTTCTGAATATTTCACTCTTTTAAGGAAGCTGGTGGGGCAGAAAGCATTTAGATTTGAAGAAAGATAACTAGGTCAGCTTATTAATTAGGATTTGAAATATAGGCCTTTAAGGTCAAACTTTCTATCTGAATTAGTCTGTGATTGTTCTTTCTCTTTATATTTCTCTTTCACAGAATGCAAAGCTTTTTATTTTAGTATATCAAAAGTCTTGAATAAAAGAGTACAAGATTTTTTAAATTTACTTATTCTTTTTAAATAAATATAATTTTACAGGATAAAACTGCATTCTCTTTATTATAAACTTAATCATGCAGACAACATAAAGATTATTGCCCAGATATTACTGCACATCTCAAAATTACATATACTTATAAATACCATATTCAACTACTAATAGTTTTAGTGAAAAATTCTAAATCATATTATATGCTCTCTTCAGAGAACATCCAAAGACCCCAATAAAAAAAAAACAAAATATGCACCACTAAGAATGTTAGATTACTGATTTAATTCCATTAAATTTAAGCAAGATTTTGTTTTGTCCAACTGATCAAGGAAGACAGAGTACTTTATCTTTAAAAAACCTGTTTTACATAAGATTATATACCAATAATCTAAGCACTCAATGGCACTTATTTTAAATTATGTTATTAGCCACATTTAAAGCAAGTAGTTTAAGAGTGATTAGAATAAGGAATAAAGTTATGCACAGAACCATGAGGTTTTAAATAGTATATGCTGTTTATTCTTTTACATAGAATTTGTGTGCAAGCATTACATATGTAGTTCATTTATATCTAAAATATCTAAATATTTGAATTTATTGCAGTATGTATATATTTTTTCAAATAAAATCCATAATTTTAAATTACTTTTATATTAAAAATTTTGATAAAAAATTTTAAAACATTCTCATACATTTTCTTGGTAGCAAGTACTAAAAATCTAGTGTCTTCTATGCTTACATAAAAGCCCTTAAAATATAGACATAATTATACAATATTTCAACAATCAGGCAAGAGAGGAAGAAAAAATACACAATGTTTTATTTGATTTTGTGTTTTAGGTTTCATTTACCAGAAAGTAGCAAATAACCCTCATATCATTTAATTACAACAAGATTACACAGAAATACAAGGGAAAAATTATATAGCCAACGCTTAACGAGTTTTCAGCCAGAGGTATTCCTTTATGCAAAGAAACTTATTTTTCAATATGGAAATAGTCTTTTCCATTGCCCTTGGTCCCAAGCATAGGGCCTCACATCAAGACATGTCCTTTGCTCAAAGTGAATCAATGTAAACATTTTCACTGCAAATCATCCTTTTATTATAGCTGCCTTTGATTCTTCACTCATCTCCAAAATGCTCTCCCCATTCACATACTGTTGTTGTCATCAAAGAAATTATAGGCTACTTGGGACTCAAATTTGGAAAAGGAAAGATTATCAGTGTTATACTTTTGCAAAGTATCTTAAACAACTCATTTATTTACTGGTGGAATTGTTGAATAGATAATGCCAACACCAAGTATTTAAGTCCCTAAGTAGCTCATAAAGTATATATCACCCAATCACCTTCTCATCAGAAGTTGCAGATAGTTTCCAGTGAAACCACAACATCTTTGATTTTCCCTCACACAATAAATGGGTGTTAGGATTCTTAAATAGTTTTAAATACTAAAGAACCATTTCTATCTGGACTGAATGACTTTCCATAGCTGTCTAATAAAACATGATTTGATTGGTCTTCACTCATATTTTCATATAATGCTTACAAGTCTTCTGTACACGTATATGCCACAATTAACTTATAAATTTCTTAATTTGCCCAACACACCTAAAGACCGAAAGTCTAATGGAAGAGAGGCATTAACAGAGGGTATACTAGTTACGTGCTGTGGGAGAATGGTAGTGGTAGGCAGGCTCAGAGGAACCAATGTGATGTTTCTCTGTACTACCAGTGAAAAACACGGTGAACTGGTCTGGGTTAGAGAGGGACTGAGGGGTCTCTGTGCTCAAAGCATACTTCACACATAGGTAAAAGAGCTCTTCTCTGATAACCTTACCCCATCTCTAAGCCCCACTGGATCTAAGTTGCTTTCTTCAGACCTAGTGAGCCATTAGCCACTCTAGCTTAGTTCAGGGGTGTGTGCGTGTGTGTGATGCACGCACACACACACACACACACACACACACACACACACCTGTGCGCCAATTGGGCAACATATCTTCTGGTGATATGTTTTTCATTTACTTCTTAATAGAACTTTAAGTCTACAACTTCATGTTATGTGCTGAATCACTGATATTACCAATTATAGACATATTTTCAGGTTAGCATTCGCTTAGAACCACTTTGGCCAAACTTTTGGTTTGGGGCAATTGCAATTTTTAAAAATTTTTAAAAATTTAAAAAACATTTAAAGTGACTTATTTTAAATATCCCCAGTAATACAACCACTTTTTGGACATAGCAAATTTTCTTCTGGGAACTAGAAGAACACATTTGGAAACCACAACAATACTTACTCCTACACACCTTTATTGGGCAACTCTTGTGCTACGTGTACGATAAACTAATCTTGCAATTCACATTGAAGTCAGCTTTTCTCAAAAAATGAAGGCCAATTTTTGGTGACTATACCACCAAAACTCCACATGTACTTCAAAGAAGTTATACAAATTTTAAGCCTATATATTTTTTTTTAAAAACCTGTATTAGTAAAAATGTAATTCGAGTCAAATTTCTTTTTAAATTTTAGAAAAGAGTTTTATTTAAATGTTTGCTGCAAACGATGTAAATTTTAACTAGACCTTTAAGACTATACTGAATTCTGCACAGTACATTTAAGTGACTTAAAGTCATTTAAAGTTGATCAAGGCATGTAACTATTATATCTCTTTCAATGCAGGACTTTTCCAAAAATGTTACATATTTTTAGCAGCTGGACTGAAAACAAATTTATAAGAACTTTCCCTATCTTACATAAACATACTGTAACCTATCACTCTGATTTTTAAACAATTGCAGACATTCTTCACTAAGAGGATTTTATACATAAGAAAGATAACTCAAACTCCTAATTCCTTCATTTGCCCAAAGAAACTATTTAATTGTGTTAATTACTTACACAGCTAATACTTTAACTCTGATCTCGCATGGACAACCACATGAGTAATTAACTGAACTTATGCAATAAAATTTTCTGCTGATTTTTAAAGTCGCAGTTTGAAAGTTTTAGTTTTGGTAATATCAAGTTACCAATAATGCAATCAATTTCCTACAAAAAGGTTGTTAGAAAATTTCTTTATGTCAACTTGCTGTATTTTGAAAAATATTTGGATTACATATCCAATATTAGAGCCCCTAAAAGATTCATTTAAGATCCATCTAGTTAGCATATTTAGCTGCTAAGATATCTCATCTCTTAACCAGAGGCATCCTCAGCCACTAAACCATCAGAATGTTATAATCACACTACAACTAAGTTTGAGGAAATATATTTTCTGTGACTATGAATTTCAAGCTATTAAATTAGCCTATCTTTCATTTCATGTGTTTTATATCAGCAATGAAACTGGACTGAGTTTAGATTTTAAAATTAAGGAATTTATGGTAAATGATATGTAGTAAATACACAGACAAATAGTAAATATTTGATTAACGTAAGCAAAAATAAATGGCAGGTCAAATAGATTTATATTTGAGGTACTTATGCCAATGAAGGTACTGTTCATGACAGTTATAATGTGAATAATTTTAGCTGAAAATACTGTACTGAATCTAGGAATATTAAATTTACACTGTCTTTATCTTAAGCAGCTCTTTAATCTCTGTGTTCAGAACTAACAAGATATTTTTAGGGCTAAGGTCTTTATTTAAAAATTCATTTCATTCTAAAGGAATGCATTTCCAAAGCAGCATGTATGTATGTATGCATGTTTGTCAGAAAGGCAGGGGTGAGACAAATATTTGTCCTATTTTTCCAGCTAAATAATGAAGTCAATAAATATTTATTGACTGTTTATGTGCAAGGTGCTGGTAGTGTGCCATTAATTTTAAAGATAAAAAAGTATTAATGATTTTTAAAATAAATGCCAATAGTTTAACTAAATTGTTTAAGTTTTTTTCTTCAAATGGTTTTATGACTTACAGACTGGACAAATGAATTGAGTAAGGGAAAAAAAAACCTCTAGTTTGATTTAGTAACTCAATACTAACTTTATCAGGCCATTTACAACCCAAAGTGGAACTTTCATCATACTATGAACAGTGAAAGTTCTATTCGAGTGAAAATAATTTGGTGCAAAATTAGAAACCTACCTGAAACAAATCTTTTTTTATTAAAATTAATTTAATCCCTGACGTCCACCCTAGGTTGTATAAAAACAGTATTTTCCTTTCATAGGTAGAACAAAAACAACAGAGTTCAGGCACCAGGCTTTCAGCAAATAAACTACTCTATTTTACATACATGTGATAATAATCAACACATGTACATAATTTCATTATCGTCCTTTGTCATTTAGACCAAATGAAAATAAAGACAAAAACTTGAAAAGCACTGTCTATACATCACTGGGTCTCAACTCAACAAAAATATAAAACAAAAAACCCTGAGATATTTTTAGGGTATTTTTAAAAAGGAAGATAAATGGCCTACCTCAAGCATCTGATGGATATCATAATGCACAAGATGACCTCTGGTACTGATGATTATTGGGCTCTAAATGCAGCAAAGATTTTGCAAATCACAAGTGAATCATTTATCTTCTGCAAGGTAGGTGGAGAGGGAGACAAGGCAGCAAAATCATAGCATTTTTCTTCACAATTCATCCTTTTACTTTAACCATATAATCATTCCTCTCTTATGGAAGTTTTTAATTAGGTCTACGCCAGGTCTTACTATAATATAAAAATAGACCACAGTAATAACTTGATGAAATGCTAAAGAAAACAATTTAAAAAAACCTATTGAATAGCTTTCCTTAGTAAATGACCACATGTAGTGAAAGACTTTACTTCCTGATAGTAAAAGACTGATTATTTCAAACACCAAATAAGAAGGCAGATGAACATTAGTATATCTTGTCATCAAGATGCTAACAGATATTTAGAAGTTTTAGAGGGATTAGCAAAATGAGATGGAGTCAAAATATTAGAACAGGCACATTCAAAATGTCCTTCTGACATGCCTACTAATGTTAAATACTGGTTGGCTGATTGATTATTTTTCCCAAATCTCTTCTTTCATCAACACATATCGAGGAAGAATGTGCTCGGTTCTAGAGAAAACTGTGTAAAACAGTTCTCTTGAAGTCAATTATTAAGAAAAGGAGGGGAAATAAGTTTTCTAATAACATGGATTTCTTCCATCAGGAAGGACAGGATTTGAACCCAGGCTTTAAACTGGGAATTAAGAAATTCCAAGTTGTTAAAATACCTCTGAAATTAAGGTTGTTTTTTTATTTGAGCCAACCCCAAAATTTGATTACCAAGTAACCAAAATGTTATGTTCAGACGTGATAAACAAGGGAAAAAAATGTAAAAAGAGCACATATACAAAATCCCCATACACCTAAAAAAAATCTCACAACGCAGGAAATATTTTCCATGACTAAGCTAATTAGATACATATAATGAAGCAAAAGTACTTCATCCTATTATTTAAATGGATAAGCTGTGCCAGAGTCACCATTTCATGTCCCAAAGTCTGTTGGTTAATATTGACTATTTAGAAGCTAAACCCCATACAAGTGTTGGTTGCCAAGAAAACACTGATAGAAAAGAGAGCTGAAGGTCATTTAAATTCTATCGACAGAATTAACCAGATAAAACAAAGTGCATCACACATATGAACACAGCCATCTTTTCATGGTGAAAAATGCCAGTGCAAGTAATACATTTCTGAAGAATCTCCATTATATTTGTAAATTGTTCTTTAAACTCCTAAAGTTGTATTCATGCTTATAAGGCAGCTGGAAAGCTGAAAAGGTGTCTCGGAATAAAAGCTACTCTTAGTTTTTCTTTCCTAAAATTAAAAACAGATGTTGTCATGGAAATCTTGAATAGCAAATATTAATAAAGAAGCACAGACCATGCCACGAAACATCATATCAGCACATATCAGCACAAATGTTAGGTTGTAATGAAGTAGCTTGTTTTTCAATATGCCATTTTTAGTCAAGTTTTCCATTTTGATGACTCTTGTTGGTTTGCTCCTTTCTTATGAGAGAGATGACTCTGAGGCATCCCTTTGAAATTTTGATCATCCACATTACATTCATTACATCTAAAACAGCACTGCAACCAATCCAGGCACTTTGGGCACCAAATCCTAGTCTGTTGAAACCTTCTGTTCCAAATACAGCATAAATATGACTATAGAAAGGAAATATGACTGCAATCCTTACGATGAAGAATACTATTGTCATTAGTATGCCATTGATGATGTTAGCTTTTGAAGACTTGGGATATCCTAGCACTTCAAGGAACCACCTGAAAAATAAAAACATTTATTAAACTAAATCTATATGTCATAGATGATATACAGTAAAGATGAATACTTTTAATTTTTGCTTTTAGAATGCAATGGGTTTTTTTCCATTCTACATGACAAATATGTGCCCATACTAATTTTGCCAACTTTTATATCATTGTTTTAAGGAAAAATTTATATGGGGCAGCTAGGTGGCACAGTAGATAAAGCACCGGCCCTGAAGTCAGGAGGACTTGAGTTCAAATTCGGCCTCAGACCAAACACTTGGCACTTACTAGCTATGTGACCCTGGGCAAGCCACTTAACCCCAATTGCCTTAAAAAATTTTTTTTAAAAAAGAAAGAAAAAATTTGTATATATGGTATCAATATTAAATATAATGGACACATTACTAGCATCTACAGTAAACCTGAAAGATCAAAGTAAGGGTCTAAAAACAATAAAAAGAAAAATATATGTAATCAAGGGCAACTATTTAAATATTCAATAAACTCCAGCAGTTCCCAATTACCTCCAGGATCAAATATAAAACTCTCTTTAGCTTTTTAAGCCCTTCACAACCTGACCCCTTCTACCTTTCCAGTCTTTTTTTACACCTAACTCTCCCTCCACATACATACTCTGACACTGGCTTCCTTACTGTTACTCAAACAAAACATTCTACCTTCCCAAGACATTTTCAGTGGCTGTCCCCTATGCCTCCTGCCTCCTGACTTCCTTCAAATGTCAGCTAAAATAGCACCTTTTGCAAGAAGCCTCTCTCAATCCCACACATCCCACTGAGATCATCTCCAATTTTTCCTGTGTCTTTTTGTACATAGTTATTAGAGTATTAACTCACCATTAAAACCATCAGCTCCTTAGAAGCAAGGGACTGGTTTTTGGTTGTTGTTTTTTTTTTGTATTTCCAGCATTTGCACAGTGCCTGGCATAGTAGATGCTTAATAAATGGTTGGTGACTTGACTTAGAAGGTAAATAGACAAAGAAGTTTTTAACAAAATATTCCTATCTATAGTATCAGTTTTGTAAACACAGGCAAGTTACAATAACCTCGTAAAGAAAGGACAGCATCTCTTACAATTTTATTTGGTAGATGATAAAACTGAGGATCATCAAGCTTAAGTGATTTGCCATGGTCTGAAAGCTAGTAAATGATTTGTTCAGGTCTCCATAAAGGGCCAGGTCTCCTTGTAGAGGTGGAGTAGTGTCATGTAATGGGTTGTATTTGGGGTCAGGAGATCGAGGCTACACTCCTACCTCTAACACTAACTAGTAGTGTGGCCATGGATAAGTCACATGATCTCTCTACATCTCAGCTGCCCCACCTTTGTTGCTGTTCAGTCATATCTGACTCTTTGTGACCCCATTTGGGGTTTTCTTGGCAAAGATACTAGAGTGGTTTACCATTTCCTTCTCCAGCTCATTTTACAGATGAGGAAACTGAGGCAAATGAGGATAAGTGATTTTCCCAGGGTCACACAGTACCTACTAAGTGTCTGAGGCCAAAAGATGAATCTTCCTGACTCCAGGTTCAGCACTCTATCTACCATGCCACTCAGCTGCCCCAAGTATGGGTATATCACGTGTTACAAAAAATATAGTGTCTTATAAAATCTATGGTGCTGAGTCATACTTTCTGTGGAATCTTCTTGGATTTGGCAAAGATCATCTTCCCCCAAAATTATGATACTCAGAGTCTTATGCCCAAAGAATATAATGTGTATTGCACTATCAAATGAGATCATTCATTCAATATATATTTATTGAGTCTGCTCAGTGAGCAAGGTACTGTATGCTAGGTAATAAATGAAAAAGCTTCTAATATTTGTGAAATGCTCATTATTTACAATAACTAATCACTTAGAAGGGTCCAAGACAGAACCTGTGATATCCAGTACTTAATTTCACTCTGTATTATAAGTTACGTTATAGTGAGCCCCCAGGGTAGTATTATAATAATGATTTTAGAGATGGAGGTACCAGGGCAATGGAACATCATTTTCTAAAATAAATGGCTTACCATGGCCAACTTTAAAAGTCATTAACAACCTACCTTTGATTCACAAAAGGATTAGAAAACTCTGCAATGAGACGAAAGTTACCAAAATATGCCAGCAATCCTTTCGCCTAGATTATAAACATTAAAAACAAAAAAATTAGCACATCAACTTTTACCAAAATTTCTAGCTATTTAAGAAAACATACAAATTATATCTATTTCCACTGTAAAAACTTTTCTTCATATTTTAATATTAATTTTAATATTTTAATACTAAGAATACTAAGAATTTTAATATTAAAACAAAGATGAATATTTTCTCTTCTTTTACCATTCATAATTTTATTAATTCTATAGAAGAATGTTAGGAATTAGAGGGGGTTTTGTTTTTAAGAGTGGAAAAAAAGGCAAATCATTTACATACAGTACCATTTCTGTTTCTGAGGAAGAAATTTCAAATAGAGCTCCCAAACGATATAGGTTCTAAAAATAGTAATAATTAAGGACTGTATTCTTAAATGACTAGAATTTAAAGGTTGGCATGTTTATACCAATCACTTAACTTGAATTTTATATTGATTATTAAATATTAACAAAATCTTAAATCAATGTAGCCAAGATCAGAAAGAAAGTAGAAAATTAGGGGGGAAATTTTATAGATGTTTCTCAGATGAGGGTCTCATATTTTAAATATATAAAGAACGTTGTCAAATCTATAAGACAATGAGTCATTCCCCATTCCCCAATTGATAAATGGTCAAAGGATATGAACAGGAAGTTTTCCAATGAAGAAATCAAGGAAATTTACAGTCATATGAAAAAAATGTTCTAAATCATGGATTAGAGAATTACAAATTAAAACAACCTTGACATATCATTTACATCTATCAGATAGGTTAAAATAATAGAAGAGGAAAGTGATGAATGTTAAAGGGGATGTGGAAAAAGTGGGACCCTAATTCACTGTTGGTAGAACTGTGAACTGATCTGATCATTTTGGAGAGCAATCTGGAATTATGCCCGAAGAGTTATAAAACTGCCTATACCCTTTGACCCACCAATACTACTATTAAGTCTGTTTCCCAAGATGATTAGGGAAAAAGGAAAAGAACCTCTATGTTCTAAAATGTTTCTAGCAGCTCTCTTTGTGGTGGCAAAGAACTGGAAATTGCAGGGATGCCCATCAATTAAGGAATGGCTAAACAAGTTGTGGTATATGACTGTGATGGATTCCTATTGTGCTATAAAAAAAATGATGAGCTCAATGATTTTAGAAAAACATGAAAAGACTTGCACAAAATAATGAAGAGCAAAATGAGCAGAGCTAAAAGAATGTTGTACATAGTAAAAGTAATATTGTTTTAAGAACAACTCTGAGTGACTAAGTCATTTTGACTATTATAAACACTCACATTAACTACAAAGGGCCTATGAAGGAAGACGCTATTTGCATCCAGAGAAAGAAATAATAAATAGAAGTATGTGTAGTATGGATTCACACACACATAAACACACACAAATACACACACATATTTGTGTCTAATGGTAGCCATCTCTAGGGTGGGAGAAAGGGGAAAAAAGAAAGTTACATGATAACTTTATTATTTATTTAAAAGGAAAAGCAAGTTGCATATAATAGTTTCATGTGTAATCTTTTTTTCTATTCTACTTTGTTATGGAATTGCTTGTTTTATTTCTTAAGTTCAGGATAAAAAAAAAGAAAAAAGTCTTAAATCAGTAATATGTTAGCTGCCAATATAAAAAAAACTGAAAAAAACTGAAGATTTAGCAAACTCTAATATTATAGCCCAAACATATATATACCAAATTAACTTAATCTACCAAATTTGTACTGACAAAATGTAGATATCTGTTTCAACTCAATAAAAAACATTTATTCAATATGTCTATTACATGCAGAGAATTGTGCTAAGATTAGATCAAACAAGATACCTGGATGCAAGATATTTATAGGGTAGTTGGAGCATAGGCCACATACACAAGTGATTAATGCAAAACAATGACAGCATTAGAGAGGCAAAGAGTACTACATGTTACTGATGGGAGTTAATGGGTAGAGGTTATGATTTATTAAAGACATAAAGGAAGACTTCATGGAGGTGGTGGCATTCAAGCCTTGGATTTTAATAGATGTACAGAAACTCAAGGGGCAAAGAGGGGGAAGCAGAATGTTGCAGGCACAGATATCAATCAATCAAAAAGTCCATGGAATTAAGCATTGGATGTACAAAGACTGGAATGACAACAGATCCTGCCCCGGAGTTTATATCTGAAAGGGGGTTAAGGATGAGATAAAATGTGAACTTCTAAGTATATACAAAACAATTAATTTGAGATATTTTTGGAAAGGAGGGTGCTTGAAGCTAAGGGGGGATTAGGAGAGGTCTCATGTAGAAGGTAAGACTTAAGCTGAGTCTCAAAGGAATTCTAAATGTAAACTCCTCTTTGGTGTTTAAGATTCTTCAGTACCTGGCTCCTTCCTATCCTTCCAATCTTTTCACACTTTATTTAATAATGATAATAATAATAATAATAATGAAAATAAGCTAACATTTATATAATACCTATTATGTACCAGGCACTGTGATAAGCTCTTTACAAATATTATTTCATTTGATCCTCACAACAACCCTGGGAGGAAGGTACTATTATTATTCTCATTCTACAGTTGAGGAAACTGAGGCAGACAGAGGTTAAATGACTTGCCCACACAATTAGGAAGTGCCTGAGGCTGGATTTGAACTCTGATTTCTTTTTCTTTTTAAAATTTATTTATTTATTTATTTTTAGTTTTCAACATTCACTTCCACAAGATTTTGAGTTCCAAATTTTCTCCCCATCACTCCCCTCCCCCCACCAAGATGGCATGCAATTTGAACTCTGATTTCTTACAGCACTTAGTAGCTGTGTGATTCCAGTCAAGTCACTTTACTTCTGTTTGCCTCAGTTTCCTCAACTACAAAATGAGGATAAAAATAGCACCTACCTCCCAGGGTTGTTGTAAGGGACCAAATGAGATTAATATTTGTAAAGCACTTAGTGCAGTGTATGTTTGTTCCCTTACCATGTATTTTATATGTATTTATTTATTTATTTACAAGCTGTCTCCACCATTACTATGATATTCCTTAAAAGAAGAGACTGTTTTTTCTGGTTTTGCCTTTCTTTGTATCTTTAGCACTTAGCACAGTACCTAGCACATTGTAAATGCTTAATAATTGATTGCTGATTGATAGCTTGACTGAAAGAGGACACGATCTGATGTATGCATAAGGAAGACTAGTCTTACAGCAGTATGAAGTAATGATGGATTAGAGAGCAGAAAACAAAACCAGAAAGACCTGGGAAGGGAGGATTCCAATAGTCCAGACAGGTGGTAATGATGACTTAACAACAGTTGTAGTGGGAGTAAAAAGGAAAAATGAGAGGCATAAGTAGCAGTAAAATCTTTAGCACTCAGCAATAGGCTGGATAGGAGAAGAATAACCCAAGTTTCCAGCCAAGCTTGGATCAAGCCTAGAAACCTTGGTTTATAGAAGTAAAGAAGAAAAAGTCAGTCAAGATTTCAAGAATGGGAGACTGGCTGGATGGCGATGTTGCTAATAGAAATAATTAAATTACAAAAAAGAAGCAGGTTTGCAGAAAAATATATTGTGCTTTATTTTGAATAAGTTGAGTTTGAGCAAATGGTAGGACACCCAGGATTTTTAATTTTGTGCCGTAGGAAATAGCTGCTCCCTAGAATAAAAGATATACTAAAACCCACATCCTTTTTTTAAAACTAGTTGCTCCCATGTCAATGGGAATGTTATAAAAGTGGAGAAACATATTTAACTCTAAATTATTTTGGGACTTGCACCACTTTTTGTATGTAAATTCTGGAACTCCTAAAGTTTAGGAATCAGAAATTTAGAGGTCAATTAAAATTGGTTTTTGTAATCTCAAGGTCACTGTCCTCAGTGAAGCTGTAATGGGTAATATGAAAAAATGGATAACCCTAGAAACAAGATTAGCATATCACAGATACAATGACATTCCTCATTTAACTGCTTCCAGTCAAAGGGCTCAGCATTTAACTAAAAATGTACCCAATTCATTAAAATACATGATTTCCAAAATATCTTCTAGGCTTGAAACAACTTAATGCCAGAGGTCTAACAGACTTTAAAATATGTAAAACTGGTCAGTAGTTTCCAAACATCTCTCTTGGTCACTAAAGTACCAGCCTTCTAGTTTTGGGAGGTTTGTTCGTTTTTTACTGAACTTCTGGTTAAAAACAAGGGACAGCCCTATCTATATTCTCAAGTGTCATTCATAACCTTTAATGTCCCCACATCCTCCGCTCCTTTACTACCTCTTTTGTCCCTGCCCCTCAGCTGGGCCTGAAAGCAGAATTAGCGGCAAGATATAAATCTGGTGAGCTAAAACCATCAGTCAGTTTGGCACTGAGTACAAAAACTAATTGGACCTTTAAAATCTGGAGATTATATTCCTGAATGGAGATACAATCCCAGATGAATTCTACAATGTCTTTTGTAGCAGATAATATTAAATCCTCCAAGTAGATACACATGTATTTTATAACAGCAGTAAATAAGGTGCAGCATTCTTAAACTTGTAACATGAATTTTTAAACAAATATGCATAATCAAGCAAAACAAATTCCCCCTCCTCATTCTGTATATTTAGTCCATCACTTCTCATCAGGAAGTGGATGGAATTACTCATCACCAGTCCACTGGAATAATGCTTGATCACTGAATTGATCAGAATTAAGTCATTCAAAACTGCATTTTTACAATGTAAAGTGCATCTCTAATGGTCTCTGAGATATTTTAGAGTAAGAAGATACTCAGATGATCTATGTAGAAGAGTAAAATGATTCAAGCATATGGCAGTTTAAAAGGAGACATTAGGCCAGGGGAGAACAAGACTCCAGTGCCTGTGCAATCTTGAGGAATGAAGAAAAAGGAAGAAAAAAGAACTGGTTGAAATTGGATTTCTCCAGGAGACATTCTCAGCCAAAGAGGGCTACTGTTTGCACAGGGTGTTGTCAAGAATCTGCTAATTATATGAAAACCACCTCTGTAAGCAGTGACTAACAATA